TTATTTATATCATTTAATGAAATACGTGTAGTAAAAGTGCCAGGGAATATAGTAACCTCTTTTCAACTCCTTGAATTCAGTTTCTCACATTCACACTCCAATATGATAATTTTCTATGCATCACTCATTTACAAACTTTATTTATGTAAATCAATAGAAGGCATTTCTTTCTTGCCTATTTCGAATAAAGAATGTTGACAACTTGGCTTGCAAAACAGTATGCGCCCTACCACCCGTCCCATATATCCCCTCCAAGTGGCCGATAGTGATGTGACACTAGCGCCCTCGAGGTATTTGAAACCGGGTTTCAGGCGCATTATCGTAACCAATGTTCGCCCTCCTGGGCTCTATTCTTCATGGTTTTAACATCGCGAAATGTGTGTGGTGTGCGTGGTAAAGAGGATTGACTAAAGTAGAGGCTCAGATCTCGGGGTTCAAGTGACTCCAAGCCAAAAATAGTACGACCCCAAAGGAGGGGTGGCGCCACGGTCGAATCTGACGGCTGGGCGAGCTGCTTGTTCCGGTAACTCGGCAGTAAGTCCCGCTTCCGCTGTCGCAGGGATTCGTGATGTTAAATTGACGAATGGTGGCGCTGAAACTTACAAGATGGCTGACATAAAATTTTCCAATTGAAAATTTTCAGTCACACTTTCAGATCCTGAGGGGATCAATGGAGTAAAAACCGATTTATTATTGAAGAGCATAATTAATCGAATCAGAGACAAGCCTCAATTGTGTATATCAATGCGAAGCTACTCCTAATACCACTTTTGTTGATTTCATTCGAAACGTTTTATGTCGGCCATGTTGAAGCATCAGCGCCACCTCACTTTCAGTTAACATCGCGAATAGTTTCGGAGTGGAACTTATGCCCTCCTCGTCATCAACATGTTCTCAATGTTTTTCAGATGATTCATTTGCTGGCTAATTAATATTAAGGAATGAAACCCAGACGGTGTGATGGAGAATTAAATTCCCCATCAATCGATCCCCGTTGCATCCCTTAATCTCTGTAACAAAAAAATACAAACTACGACAAATGTCATGGGCCAGTGAGAAAAATAATTTTCTTCTCGGCGCACAGTGACTTTTCACCATTCGCTCGCGAATTAAAAATTCACTTCTCCCCTCCTAATTGAGATTAAGGGATGAAAAAAGAATTGTTCGATGGAGAATTAAATTCCCCACCAACTGACCCTCTTTCATCCCTTAATCTCTGTGAAAAATGAAAGAAACTGTCATGGAAATAACAGCGCAGTAAGAAAAATAATTGTTTTGCGGCACACAGTGACTCCCGGTAATTAAAAATTCACTTCTCCCCTCCTAATTAAGATTAAGGGATGAAAAAAGAGCAGTTCGACGGAGAATTAAATTTTTCATTAATTAACCCTCTTTCATCCCTTAATCTTTGTAACAAAAAATTAAAAATCGCCATGAAAGTCAGGGGCCAGTAAGAAAAAT